TGAAAGTCACTGAAGTGGAATGGGATGGGAACTTTGCACATCAGATATCGTATCGCATGATGTTGCACGTGTGATTTCACGAGGCTTCCAACCGGGAATACGTTAAATGCGACTCGTGTCAGATTGATCAAGGAGGCCGGGAGTCGACCGACTTTTTCAGATCTGATCGCGACGTCACGAAAAAGAATGGGACGACCCTTTGGGATGGAATGGGACGAAATGAGACATCCTTTGACAAGTTCTCATATTTAATTAGACTTTCCAGGCGACAAAGTTACGCCTCCTACAGCTAAAGTGGAGAGAGGAAACCACCTCTGCTAACCGCCTCCTTACCTCCTCCTCCTTACCTCCTCCTTACCTCCTCCTCCTCCCCTCCTCCTTACCTCCTCCTCCTCCTTACCTCCTCCTCCTCCTTACCTCCTCCTCCTCCTTACCTCCTCCTTCACCTCCCCCTCCGGTTATGCTTCTGTCTGAATCTCTTCCAGATCTGTGATGTGTCGGGTCCGGAGTCGTCGACCCCGTGCATGCCTCCAGTGCCTCTGCTTGGTCCCAAGTCCTACAGGCGCATTCAAGGCGTATTCCATGATATTTTTAAAGCTTCAAAAGCCTGGGCAATGACGCCTGCGTTTCCAGTTAATACTCCACGATCCACGACGCCTAGAACACGAATGGAAATTTGCCTGCAGGCAATTAGGGGCTCTGACGGGGAAAGCATCCTCTTTCATCCAAATAATGAAATTCAAACGTTTTGTCCATTTTGGTATACTAGGAAACGGAACTCGAAATACAGGGTGGGCCACAAAGTCCCTTAACAAGGACATCACAGCGTGTCTGTATGTTGTCCTCCGTTTTCCGCACATTGTTTGACCCTTCCCCATGTTCTTTTGGACTTCTTCTTCCACCTGGAAGGCTGAGTATCATGAAAGCAGTCTCTAATGGCTGTTTGGGGGTCTTCAACAATTTTCAAGCGCAGTTGGGAAATTTTTTCCTTCGCGATTCCCCAAAGCGCAAATGTTGTCAGGTCTGGCCTGCGAGGTGGCCATGCCACATCAGATCCTTTTCCATTCCATTGTCCTTTTAATGTGTCATCGAGATATTCTCGCACTGGCAGAGCATAATGTGCTGATGCACCATCTTGGTGCATGATGCATGTCGATTAAAGAGAACAACGAGTTGCAAGGAGAACGCCCATTACTAAGAGAAAGTTGAGCAGCGCCCACCGCATGTCATGATTTGGCCAGCAATTTCAACAGATCACTAATTGGTCCAAACTTTTTTCAAGGAAAAGTGGATCACACGGCATATCTGAACATGCGAATGCGGTTCATTCCGCAACTGTGTGGATCAAAAGGATTTTTCCGAAGAACCAATGTAGTAATATCAGAACCTATTTTCAGTGGTTTTACCATCCTACAATCACTTAGTCTAACCGAAGATCTACAGGTTAGGCCTTGAGTTACATTTTTTCGATCAAAAGAGGCTCAATCCTCGACCTACGAAACAATTAGGTCTTTGGGAATTAATGCCTGGTCTTCGAGACATCTCATTGAGGACGAATACCTTCCGGCCAATCGCTGGCCTATTCAATCCCTGAAGGCACGTTTAACAGGAAACTTGTAGCGATAAACGGATTGTTGGTCTTTTTTTCGAATTTCATGAATCATTTCAGTGCGGTCGGGGAACAGCAGGCCTATCCAGATTTCCTCAAACCCTCTCGACTGATTACGGGAAGAAAATGCCTTTAGAAAGCATGACATTTATGCACTGGACACGACCAAGTTAATTTACGGATGTCCGAATAAGATATTTGTATCTCCGTATTCCGTCTAATCGATCCGCGACTGCAATCAACCGTTTCATTCTCAGCTCATTGCATGAATTCAGCACATTAATGTGATCTACATAAAAAAAGAAGATGCATACGAAGATACGAATCTGCCATGACTCTGACATGGTATCCGGCAACACTGCGGAACGGGATCGGACCCACCACGCTAAGCCTAAATCAACGGCATCTAATTTAATTTTTTTATTTCTAAATGGTACACTGGAATGAAAATAAATTAGCCTGTTTGTCATCTTCAGGTCAATACCTTTCATTTGACTGGACAGTTTTTTTTCCAAAACTTCCCAGGAGTGGATACCAATGTGGGAAGAAAAAAATATCCGAACGAAATTGGCAGTGAGATTCTGAGATATCGACTACCTTGGGGGAAAGGAGCTTCAAATTTGCTGAAGCAATTCTGTGTTGAGAGAGGAATATTCGAAATTGCGTTCCTGTTAATTCTTTCAGAGAGAAAAACGAGATAGTTCAATTTTGTCGCCGGAAGAGGTTGAAGGAAGGCAATGGAAGGGATTTCTTTCCACCACACATCAAAACTAGAGCTAGGTTTAAGCGCGAATTGAAGTCTAATGCAAGAAAAATACATGGTATTTATCTTGGAAAATGGCCAAAGTGCTTCTTAAGATGAAATGAATAATTTGAAAGCCTAGTTGTTATGTCATCAGTAAATCAGTTTATCACCGAAGTCCAAGAAAAAACTCCAATCCTCGCAGATGCTTTTCCAACCGTATCCAAATCCCAGGAATTCCTGGTGAGTGTTGGGGAAAATGTGGCATTGGGATGTAAGGTTTTCCAAGATTCATTACTTTACAACTTTAGTATGTTCACGGTATAAACATGCACAACGTGATCGAAAATTTGATGTTCTTTATTCTGCACTACTTTCCTTTCAACTCGTGCGCACTTCCAATGAGGAAATTTAAAATTGCAACGTACCTTATTTCGTGTGCTGTAGAATTGCAGGATGAGACCCTCACGAAAAATCCACGTATGTGGACCACCCTAAGTCCACTAGGGGGATTTGTATGAAGCCACACGTGGATCATATGTGGATTAAGAGGATCCACATAGAGTCCACATGGGGATATTCTTATGTCCACATTAGTCCCCATGTAGAGAAGTCCACCGGCAGTACAGTCCACGGTAAGCCCACGCTATTCCACATGGATCCCTGCCATTCCACGTGTGGATTAGCAAAGGGGTTTGGATAGTTCCCTGGTGGATGCAGGGGGATTTTTCGTGAGGGGAGGGGTAGGGCTCTCCATGGCTTTCTGTTCGCCATAAAACAATGGATTTAGAGGAGTTTCTTACAAGGCCAATCCACCTAGGTGCACACGAAAGCAGAAAGTCCATTAAACTAATTAAACTTGGTCTTTGTAAACGTGGTCGATACAATTCAGCTACGTAGCCTGTGCCACGTATTCAACCGAGCTCACTCCCTGGACGATAAGCAATGACTGTGGAACTTCTCTCTTCCCATGGAAGCAAGCCGGTGGTCGTCAGCGCTTTTTTCTATATGTTCTTACATGGTGTGACCTCAACTGATTTTGTTGCGCATTATGCTGCACATTTTGGGAGGAGATATGAAAACATCACCTCAGAAACGAAAGAAGCCAGTGTCAGAATATGCGGCATACGATGCGTTCTACCGACACCCCCCTGCTATGCTTTCAACTATCGGGAATCCGATGGTTCATGCCAGCTGGTTTTCAATGAGAAAAGTGGCCTTGTGGACGCCAACGGATTTACTGCTTATGTTCAGAGTGAGTCATCGACTTGAAATACAGTACATTTGAAAATTGGCGAAGGGAATAATTTCATTATCTCTAATACACAGGACTGTGCCTGACGGATCATCCAACGATTCAGAAGGCCAAAGTGTCATTTGAGCATTGGAGCGGGGAGTTCCCAGCTCTACCTGGTGGAAGGGTGATTCTAAGCTGTCCGCATCCCAAAGGATTCTCTGATGGCTCTCAACTCCACACGGCTGAATGTTCTTCTGTGTCACCTGGTACTTGGTGGAGCTCCTTCAAGGAAGGCACCACTACCTGTAAGAACGTCGAACTCAATGTTATACGAAAATGCATACACACTCGATTGCCAGGAATCATATCCAAAGGTAAAGAAATGAGTACATAGTTCATGAAGCCGTTTTCGTCTATGGGCACATATAGCAGTAGGAGAACTTCTTTTCTCGGTGACGACTCCTAACTGCAGAATTGCCAAAGATCTGGTGATGGCTAAACCCTGAAACCACAGACTGGGAGCAGAAAAGCGCTAGATTTTTTACGTTCGATAATGAGTAAGAAGTAATGGGGAACGTATAAGCAGAAATTAAATGCTGACCATTCTTAATTCACCGCATTTCCAGAATATTCGAAATCTTGGGAAGACAGAGTCGTTTGGAAGCAAGGAAAGAAATTACGTTTAGTCAAAGCTGTGTTTACATGTTCATTTTTAAGGTGTCTTAGTGACATCTTGTGGATAAATAAAATGAGTAGGCATTAGGCATGCAATGGCGCCCGCAAGGGGGGGGGGGGTACCACTCCCACACTATTCCTCGGCACGTATATTTTCATTTCAATCCCTATTAACCCTTTCGACGTCCTTCAGAAAAGGACGTCGAAAGGAGAGCATGACGTTCTCGTCATGCTCTTCCGTGCTTTCCGACAGCAATGAAAATAAAGACGGAGTAGGCATCACTAATCAAATTTCAAAATACCTTACTTGGTCAATGAAGACCGGGTAGGCCTTGGCCTAGTCTTTGTTGAGAGCGTCAAAACTCAGTGTAGTGTGACGTCATGTATTGAAAAGCTATGCGTTTATTGTCGATTTGACGCCATGAGCGATGGCGGCTGACCCTTCTAATCGGCGTGTGGCTACCTGGCGTTCTCCATTGGCCTGTCCAGTCCACGTATATTTACCAAGTCTCTGGTCTCAACAGTGACTGCGTTGACGCAATAATGAACGTGAGAATAACTGAAATTCTCTCAGTAAACTAATTTATGGAACACCTTGTAAAAAATCGGAAGACAACACCTGGTAGGGATTGATTCATGTTTCACTCTGATCTGTTCTCACGGAACTGGGATCATCCATCAAAGTACCTCACTTTTGCGCTTGATGCAGACTCCCAACCTCAATTTAACGTAGTATGATGGGTAGAAAATGAAATCTCGTTCCATATGTTTGCAGTGATTGTTACTCTTCAACATTATTTTAAAATTTGCAGGTACGCCGCTGTATAAGTATCCGGAATGCCGTTTGACAGAGAAGGGAAGAGAATACATCGGGAAGGTAAGTGAGACGGAATCAGGAAAGAATTGTCTGAGATGGGACACTCAACCTAACGGAACGCCCAGTGACTTCCTCGCAAACGTCACGTATCCTGGGCACTTTTCCAACTTGGATACCTGGTCTCACCAGAACTACTGCCGCAACCCATCTGGAAGGGAGAGGCCATGGTGTTTCGTCATGGACGAAAATACTCAATGGGAATATTGTGATATCCCCATGTGCACGGATAAGGGTAATTATTCCTTTTAAGTCCCTCGTCATCTTCCATATGCCCCCATCACTTGCTAATACCTGACGTGTGGATGAGGAATTTAATACTGTTGAATAGTTGGCCAAAAATGTATGTTCCTTAACCGCATCTTCGTAACTAATTTTGAAATTATCATTGTTCCTGATGTGCATTGGACAATCGCATATGTCGATTTCGTAGCTCATGTAAGTAAAAAATCGTATGAAGACCTGGGATTTTATGAATCCCCTCACAAGAATGTCCAGCAGTGTAAGGTCCAGTAACCATGGCCATGTGATCCACGAGTACGACCTCGCCAAGTGAGTCCTGGAATTGTAGCCTGAAATTTTCTTACATATGCAAATTAAGGATAATGATCGAAAACCCTGAATCGCGGTTAGAAGCTGCCGAAGTGAAGATCTTGCATCGAGTGGCTTGCGTAACGCGCCGCTATCGGATGCAGAACTCCTTACGCGAGAGCCTCCAAGTCGAGCAGCTGCTTCTCGAGATCGGCAGGTCTCAGACCAGGTGGTTTGGACACGTCTGCTGCATGTCCCCTGAGAAGCTCCCAAGAGGAGTCTTCCAGGCCAAGATGGCCGGGGAAAGACCTGTCGCTGGACCTCGTACGATATGGAGTGATTAAGTCGCTAGGGGTTGTCACGAGAGGCCCGTCATCCCATCAGCTGAGCGTGAGTAGAATTGGCTTGAATAGTGATCGACATTACTTCAAAGTTGCCTCCACGTGGACGAGGGAACAATATTCCCGTATTTCGTAAAAAAAAATTGCAGTGAAGTCTTTATATCGCCGCTGCTGATCAACTCCGCAAGGAAAAATCTCCCATAGTTATTTCCTTTGTACTTCAGTAAAAACTCGTTCATTTACTTTAAAAGTTCCATTAAAAAACCAATTGTTCACAACCTAACCTAAAATGAAGGAAATAAATCGGTCAGAGATTATCTGTTTCGTCATAATGTTATGCAACTTCCAAATGGTGTATGCATTTTTGGTCATCCATATACATTTATGCATTTAATTTGTTAGATATATTAATTAAATTCGCGTCATCTGCCTGCATCTCTGAGCGTAGCATATCATATCACCTCCAAATGTTCTTGAAAAAAAGTTCATAACGATTTTGGTACTAAGTAAATTCTACGGCACGTCATTTTTCTTGCAGAGCAGACCCTGCGGCGACTCACTTTTCCAACTTCTATGCAACTTTTCGCATGCCCTCGAGTTTCAATTTTCAAAAGAACCTTCGCATGGAGTTCGAATAGCGAAGTAGATGACGAGGACTCTCCGCCATCTCAGTGTGACAAAGCTCAAAATATAGAGCATCGTATGTTGTTAAGAATGTTGCTATTACGAAATATAAATTTTTTAATGTTCACGTGGGCGCGTTCTTTCCATTTCTACATAATGTTCGACTGAAATCGATTTAATGGAATCATGTATAACAGATTATAACTGGACTTTGTGAGGTTACCATGAACAGACATTTTGAAACAGTCCTGCTTGTTGCTTATAGGGGATATAACGCTGCTAATAACAGGAGATCTGATATTTCATGAACAGATCCTCCAGAGTGCAAGATAACTCAACAGGGCGGTGAATACATTGGAAGAACGAACGTGAGCCATTCAGGTTTTGCGTGCCAAGTATGGATGGAACCTTGGAGAAGCAAAATCCCTGGAAAGGGGGAATTATTCTTACCAGCATTTCCGGATTACAAAGGAACTGGGGAGCCGCACAACTTCTGTCGCAACCCTGATGGAGATGCTGCTCCTTGGTGTTTCATTGAAGGTAAAAATCTTGGCAAGGAATACTGTGACATCCCCTTCTGCAAGGTCCGAGAAGTTCAAGGTGGGCCCAAGGGGAACGTGTATCCCGAATGCAGATTGACAGAGAAAGGAAAGGAATATGTGGGGACAAAAAATGTTACCGAGACGGGAAAACCTTGTGTTGATTGGAAATCTAAACCGTTTGGGATGCCGTGGGATTTCTTCAACCAGAAAAGAGGATATTCGGAGCACTTCATCCATGCAGACCTTGCAATGCACAAGAATTACTGCCGGAACCCTGCTCTGTACAGGGAAAAGCCTTGGTGCTTCGTCTCTGAACCAGACATCCAGTGGGAATACTGCGACATTCCCTTATGTCATAACCTCGGTGTGTTCCTCAATACAATTATGGTGACATTGCCTGCTTCACAACTTGAGTGCGTTTTTATTTTCTCTTAGAACCGCCCGAATGCAAATTGATAACAAGTGGCGGTGAGTATGTCGGAAGGCGGAATACCACCATATCGGGATTTCGATGCCAACATTGGCTTGCTCAATATCCTGCACGTCATAATCAGATTTTCCAATCGCTATCCGCATTTCCTGACGAAGTTGACGGGACAAACAACTTTTGCCGCAACCCTGATAACACTGGTCATGGTCCATGGTGTTATTTGAAGGAATCTGGGAATAGCTGGGAGTATTGTGATGTTCCCTTTTGTCCTCCGACAGGAGGAGAACGATGCGATATTCGTGTTTCAGGAAATTGCATGAGTGGGTTTCCTTTCTCTTCTTTTCTTCTGATCCCTCAACAGCATTTTCCCTTGCTTTCATGCGACATTATTCCATAAATTGTCCTACCCATTTTTTGCCTGATATGCCTCCTTTTTTCATCCTAAACTAGGTCCAGTGGAGTGCAAAATAAACAAAATTGGAGTCAAGTACATGGGAACGAAGAATATCACGAAATCAGGTAAACCTTGCCAGCTGTGGATGAGCATTTCACCAAATGTCATATCGGGGAAATTTGAGTACACAATACGTAACGCATTCCCGGACGACCTACATCCTTCTCACAACTTTTGTCGAAATCCCAATGCCGTATCGGAGGGGCCTTGGTGTCATAATGGAGCTGGAACTGATCCAAGTTGGGAATATTGTGACATCCAAATTTGCTGAATATTTCGAGGATATCAGAGAAAAGACAATATTTCATCCACCTGAGGTAGCTGTTTTATGACCTTTGATGACAATGTGATGGAAAATGATGATGTGGTGTCTTTCTCTGCCTCCAGAACACATCATGTTCATCTGCGTCTCCCCTCATTGGCATGCACATTCTGACAGACACAGTCACCATTGGCAATGTGTGTTTTCATCAAGTCGTTTTCCCATGTTTCTATTGGACGATCCGATTGAGGCGCTGATGTTTTCGTTTTACACTTGGCTTTCCATTCATTCGTTTACCTCAATGAGAGTGAAGGGAAATCGATCTTCGATCTTTCACCCGCACATCGACTCAAAGTCGATACCCAGCAGAATGACAATGGCGGTTTGAGGGAACTAAGTGCAAGATGCTCCAATAGAACGTACGAGTGGTCTAGCAGAAGTTCGACCCGTTCAATAGAAGTAATGAATACGGTGACTTTTTCTTTTTAACAGAAAACGCATTTATTCAGCACTTTTCGACTTAATCACTGTCAATGTCGATGCACTTGTACGTTTCTGAAACATCTTTCCGTGCAGACTTTTTATTTTTGGAAAAAGTCAAAAGAAATTAAATTGCGAAGAATGCTTTAATCGATTAATCGCTCTATTAATCTAATCGAATTGACAGCCCAAGTATTTTTTTTTTCTTATCTACCCAAGTATACTCATCGCCAAAAAAGTCACATCAGGAAGGAGTTGAGCGATTTTGTTGAAATTTGGTAATCATACTTGTATTAGTGCCGCATGAAATGTATCCTAGTTTCAAGGTCGTAGGTTTAATATACGGAGAGGAAACTGGTCAAACATCCCAATTTAAATGGGGTCGGAAGGGTCGTACTTATCGCTCACAAAGGACATCTAGAGGGAGTTTCGTAATGAAATGCGAAACAAGAACTTTTACTGATGATTCGTACAATGGAGCAAAATTTATAGGTCATAGGATGAAGCGATGCAGGGAAAACTGGCCGATTTAGCCGAACGCCGCGTGGGATTGGGAATAACGTGACCACACTGATCAGGCCAGTTTCCTTTTGAGCTTCCCTCCATTCACTCTGCTTTGCTTCGATCGTTTACTTTTCGTCTGTAAACCCATGCCAGCACGACGTTCACAAAGGCAGTTTCGCCAACTTCAGCTGTTCGATCGAGGTCGGATAGTTGGCGTGATGGTGGCTGGGAACGGGCCAAAGGACTTCTTTGAGGACTGTGTACCGGCATGCAATCCAACTGGAGCTAGCTAACTAGCTTGGCCAGTTTTCCCTGCATCGCTTCATCCTATGACCTATAAATTTTTCTCCATTGTATGAAACATCAGTAAAAGTTCCTGTTTCGCATTTCATTACGAAACTCCCTCTAGATGTTTTTTGTGAGCGATAAGTACGACCCTTCCGACCCCATTTAAACTGGGATGTTTGACCAGTTTTCTATCCGAATATTAAACATACGACCTTGAAACTAGGAAAAATTTCATGGCGTACTAATACAAGGATGATTACCAAATTTCATCAAGATCGCTCAACTCCTTCCTGGTGTGACTTTTTTTGGGGATGAGTGCAGTATGTCCATTTGGTTGCCTGTTGGATGACCATCTTTCTGCCTCCATTGAAGATCCCCTTTGGGAAAGCCATTCTATGATCATCGCGGGATGCAGTAATAACTACCCCCTGGTCGCAGTGGAATAACATTTGCATGGTGATCAGTGTCCAAAGCATGGGAATGGAGGACTCTGTACGTTTACCATTTCGTCCACTCACGGTTCTGGAAGGAACTTAACACGTTCGCTGCCGATGATGCACCTCGTTATCCTTTCCATAAAAACGAGCGTCATCGGCAGCGAACGTGTTGAAGAGAAGGATGAGGTGAAACTCCCGACTTCCCTTCCTCAACTTTCAGTCAAGGGAGTGTTTCCCATCGCCAAAGGCAAAATTATCCATACCAGTAAGGAATAATGATGGATGGGTTTTGGATCACCCATGGCTACATGGGCATGTACGGCAGTATCCGTGTTTGTTCTCAATCTTGTGCCTTGTTCTTGATTTTGTTTGATCACTGTACCATAGAGTTAAGTCATCAGTGTATTGTGGCATTGAGCCATTGTGCAGGTTTTCTGGGATACCACTCACGTATATGTTGGGAAACTCTCGCATGGGTTGGTTGATGGCTCTTTGTGGCACTCACATTCTTGGCGTAAAAGGTATTGATGTACTGTTTAGTGAAAGACTATTTCCTCCTTTGTAAAATGGAGAATCTAAAGGTTGTTGTGCATTCATTTTTCAGACTTATTATTTGGTTTCGTCACGTCATATAGGGGCTTCTGTTCATATATTGTTAACAGGGCCGGTCCTACCAATTTCGGCGCACGGTGCAGTGAGATTCCTAACGCACCAATTCCAAGTGGAGTTGGGTGAAGCCCTAGCTTCCAAAATGACACAGCAACGGAAGGCATCTCCACTTTCTGAAGTAAAACAGATTATGGCATCAATTATTGCGTTATGCTTTCAGCCGCGTTTTCGCGCCCCTGGTGAATTTGAGTTCCGTGTGGGAGCACATGTGGCACATACATAAGGCCGGCTCTCTTTTTTTCGACTGAGCATTTTTGTACTAGTCCGAATATGTCAATTGCTGTGAATTTCTTTTTCTGGACGATACATTCGTATTTATTAGGTGTTTTTTTCCGTCTTGGAAGCAGATGGCAAGTTTCTCAATTATAAGTTCAGTTTTCCTGGGTGTGATAATAGACTTATAGGGCGGTGTCTCACGCTCATTGGTTTGTTGAACTTTTTGGTTTAACTAATTGCAATGTTCATAAGGGACTCAGTCATTTTTCGTGATAGATAATGATCGAGCATTTCATATTTCACATTGTCCTGCTTGTATATTCATATATTCATTTCTCATACCTGGACAAGAATCACGGCAATACACAGTCCCTTCCTCCAAACTTCCTCAAAGGAAGCCCTCCAGAGAGCTAAGATTCAGAGTGTCTAAATGTACCTGCTCACCATTACGTCGGGCAGCGCGTTCCGTCGTGGGAGTCTGGTAGAATAGCACTCACTTCTAAAGTAACGGTCGTAGGTTGTAGTATGCACACCTACGACGCCCACAACTGACTTTAATCACCTCTAGCAGTGTGCGCGATTGGTGTGCTCGGTACAAACTAGGTGTGAACAAATTAGGTGTGCACAAGACGAAGGTTGTGGAAACTAGGTGTGCACAAGATGAAGGAATGCCGAAAAGCCCAGATGGTCCAGAATGCTTTTCAAGGCATTGCCCCATGTGCGATTTTTTTTTTACTTCCCCCACCTCTTTTGCACATCCCTGCATTTCTTAAGCAATGGGCTTTTTGTTTGGTTGCATCTCAACCAGTACCTTACCATTCTCTCCATCAAAATTGTACCAACTGTCTTTCTATCCAGTTCCAGCAACATCCCTGCCGCTGGCATATTTCTAGGGAGGCCAAGCGTCCATCTGAGGAAAGTATTCTGTATGGATTCTAGATGTTTTGAGTCACCTTGTCCCCAAATCTCAGAGCCAGAGGTGGCAACCGACATCACACAAGCGTCGAATATTTATAGCTGCAGTCCTACATTTGCATTACCAAATGTTGTTACCATCCGTCGTAGTTGCCGCAGAGCTTTTTCAGCTTGTATCTTTCTCTGGTTTATGACTGGAGTCCAAGTGCCTGAGCTCACTACCTCTAAACTATCGCCATTATATGTCCAAGACTCTCGAGGGTCCGGCCGCATGCCGTTAGATAAAACTAGGATTTTTGTTATTGTTAAATTAACAGTCAGCATCCTTTCTTTTCCAGGGAGTTTATTCCGCGTTGTAGGCTAATGGGCGATTGCGACAGGATGACCAGGTCGTCTGCGTACAGTAAACATGTAATAGTAGTCCCATCGAGCGCAGGGGGGGTGTGTTTCCGCATGTTCCAAAAATGTGGGGAGGACATTCAGAAAGAGAGAGAACAACCAAGGCGATAGCTTACAGCCCTGTTTTACTCCTCTTTCCACTGAGAAGTCTTCTGTGCTTGTATGTACATTCAGGTGGACATGTGCGGTTGCATCTTTGTACATGGTCCTCAGCATTTTCAACATTTTGGTTGAAACACTCAGACCCTCAAGCCTCTGGCAAAGCAGAGAGTGATCTATCGAGTCAAAGGCCTTTTTTAAATCGACAAAGGCTACGTAGAGTTTATGACGTTTCTTCGTCAGTTCTCTTTGGGCAATGGTCGAGAGGATAGGATGATTACGCAGTCGATGGTGGATCTGCGAGATCTGAATTCAAATTGGGCATCTGCTCCTATTCAGGCTCTTGTAGTATTCGGCGTGTATTCCATCTACCCCAACAGCTTTTCTGCTTTATAGCAGCTGAATCTTTTTTTCCATCTCCGCGCGCGTAAAGGGGGCATCCAATAACCAATCTTTATTTGTTACGGGTATTTCCTTCAACATAACTCCCTCTTGTCCCCCGACTTTCTGATTCCACCCAGAGACATCTTCATTTGAGAGTTCCTTGAAATTGTTTAACCACTCCTCCTGACTGATTTCTTCCCCGCTGAAGCATTGGTTCTTTCCTAGGACTTTACGTATTTGTTCCCGCATTTCTTTCGGGTTCTTCAGAAGGTACGCAGGTTTTAGGGGTTCGTTCAGTTTCTCTCTGTGGACCCTTTTGGCTTCTCGTATGGCTGCTCGAAAATGCATCCTTGCTGCTATGTATTGCTCCAATGTTTCTGCTGTTCTCCACTGGCGATATACCTTCAGCATCCTTCTCATTCTTCTTCTGGAGTCCTGACAGCTTCGATCGAACCACGGAGTTCCGTGCTGCTGAGTCTCATGATGCTCGCGGTGAGTTGGGTGACTTGTAGTCTCTCCTCCCAAAGTGCATAAGGAGTTACAGTATAAAGACAGAGCCAGCTCCATCTGCTGAGAAAATATAGTTCCTTCTATCATTTCCCTGAGTTGATCAGCCTG